ATAAGAGGTTATAAACAATTTTATAAAAAATTTTTTAAACTTATGTTTTAGACTCTGAAGTAAAACATCTATTTTAACAAAATAACCTTGAACAGTTGCAAACAGTGGTTTATTTAGAACATGAGCAGTACCCTCTTTAACCCATTAATTTTAAAACACATGTAATACCCTGAAATGAGGAGACTTAAGGGCACCATTTTGACTAACTAGCTGCAGAGATGGACAACCATTAGAAGAGTCTGTGCTTAGTATGCAGTGCCTTTTGGAATACACAAACTTTTTAAAGGTTTCTTAATTTAAATCTCAAAAGTTCTATGTTGGGAAACTAATTTTTTCAGGATAATTACTAAATTAAAAGTACACACCAAGAGACACATTTGAACTAAGCATTCAAGGAAAGCTGAATGCATATCAATTTAGATTCCTGTATTTGCTTGTACTGTTGTAGAATACTGCAATTATTAACTTTTAAACAGTATTGAATAGGAATGATAAGTATCTAAGAAGGATTTTAACACATTTACAGCTCTCCAGTTTACCTACAAAAAGTAGGGTAACTTTACCAACAACAGCCCATAGCATTTGTTTCTTCAGGTGTTTTAATTTTAGAAAATCTTGAAAAAATCATACTGTATCATGTATAGAATCAGACCAACTCATAATACAGGAGATTATCTTAACTCTTAGAACTAAGGAAGCTTTGAAAGTTAGTTTCTATTTTTACTAAAAAAACACTTCATCACTCTAAGAAAAATTCAGTTTTCTACAAAAGAGAGTAAGTTTGTAAAAAAATAATCCTAAACAACATTTATTTTCTGCTATTATGATCACCATCTGGACTATACCTTCAATTAAACCCAGTTTAGAACAGCATCAAATTCTGTGAGAACACCCTTTCCTCTTTCTCCTCCCTATGTCCTGAATTTTGTACTACGGTTGGATACACTGAATTTAATTTGTAATACATAGTTGTAAGTCAAGAAGGATACTGCACTACATGTGCTTCTTTCATATTGTTATTACCAGTGCCTATACCTATTTTCAGCATTACAATATTAATGATTAAGAAGTTCTTAATTAGGTAAAAATATAGTAACATATTAAATACTTCATACTGATGGTCACAGATACAGCATTTGAAGAGTTCTTAAATACTGTTCTCAATACCATTAACTAGTTTATTTAAGTTAGTTCTGCACATCTACTACTATCTGTCTGTCTACCCTGGTACATTAAAACCACCAACACATGGTGTACTGCTATTAATTTATCAAATTTCTATGCGTTCCAGGGTAATGTTACTTCAGTCAATAAAAATAATAGATCAGGTGAAGAAATACTCAGAAAGGAACTTTTAAGTCTGAATCTCTAAACCATAAAAGGCAGTTTTGGAAAAATGTTAAAGTTCATTCCTTTATACAAACTGATTAATCTTTCTTCCTTAATGAGCCTTTTTTTCTAGCCTAAAAGTAGTTAATGTGATTTCATTTTCACAACTGTGAGTCACTGGAAAACTCTGAGATTTCTTCCCAAATTTTTAACCACCAGGCTATCTAGACAACAAGCTTCTTTGGTCACCCTTGTAGCAAAGGTACAGATCATTTGCGAGCACATGCTATTGAACACAGAGGGCTATCACAACTGATACTCAACTTCCACAAATTCAAAGAAAACATTTGTTGAAATAGCCTGCCTACAAGTTCAGTACTTCAGCTTTGCTCTCAAGAACCACATACCTGTATTCAACTTTCAATCCAGAATTAAATACAAAGACTAAAAAAACCAAAGCAAATGTAAAGGAAACATTGTAACTCTCATAAAGATATAAAATTACCATGTTAAGAGGTGATGTTAATTTTTTTAAATAGGATATTTCACTGAAAATTAAAATACATAGGAGATAATAGGGATAAGCAGAGCATTTCACATCATTACAGTTAAACATCTTCAAGTTAAAAATCAAGCAAAAAACTATATCAGCCAGAACCCATGCTAAAAGCATGCATGCGCACACATATGCACACATATACATGAAACTAGACCACAGTTAGGATGATTTTTCTTTCTTTAAACAATGCCAGAGGCAATTCTTCCAAGGGATGTTATAACTACACAGCTAAGGTGTCCTTATAAAGAGCCCCTACTTTGGCCAATTAAAACCTACAGTTACTTTCACTATTTTCAAAACCTTTGGGGACTATTCAGGAGATTCAAATACAGAACAAGCTTTTCAACAAACTCAGGTGTTCCCAACAAAACTGAATATATCCAAAGTAAAAATAATGCACTTCACAACTTTTATAAAATGTCTATGAAATTGCCCTACACGCATAGGGAATTCATCTCCTCCCAGGGAATTCACAGCTAGCAAAACAGCACTAGGTCTTAATATTAAACAATCTGAGACTATTTCATTTCTGCAACATGCATTCCAAAAAACACTCTCCAAAACACAGCATCTCAATTAACACACGAAGAAAACTCCCCTAAAGACCTGCTACACACAAAAGAATTGCTTTGATCCCAACGAATCTGCACGTTTTTCCCTGTTATCCTGCCTTAATTTATCAGACCAGGGCCGACTTGATAGCTTTCCATTAAAAAAAGCCAACAACGAACCATCCCTTTGCTAAAGGCAGAGGTGCTGCAGAGGTGATGATAACCCTAGGAAAAGAGAAGCTGTCTCTTTAAAATGCCCTGCTATGTCCCTGATCCCACGTGGAACCAACATCAGCAGCACTTTCGCATTAACTTCAATGTGAGGTGAGATGAGGCATCATTATTTTATATAAATGAAACGAGGAGACTGCAGAATACATTCTTTGTAGGAGACAAACAGGTGAACTGAACGTGCCAGGGAAATCAGCAACCATCCGTAGAAGAGGTGCCCTGCCCCTGAGCCCTCTCTTCTTTCCCTATGGAGCATTACCTCAACCCCACACTACTCTGAAGAAACCAGTTTAAATAGAGGAGGGAGCTACCAGGAAAACTTGAAATTCAAAGACAACGAAAATGCACTTTATAAACCGGAAAGGTTTACTCTTTGCCTCACACATCCTAATTAGATCAGGAAAGTGACACTACAAAGGCATTACATTCCGGTCCGAAAAAAAAAAAAGGGAAAGAAAAAGACAGAGGCAAAGAAAGGAGCCCCCATCTCCCCAAACCCCCCCAAACATACCAAAAAAGCATTAAAAAAGGAAGTTATAAAGCAGCACATAAAGCATTTATCTTATCTAGGATCACTCCACATTACCCCCAAGTTACACACTTTCTGCACCATCATCTCCCCCTACCTCTCTCTCCTGAAAGGGATTTTCACGTTTTCTCATTGTCGGTGGCGAGTTATAAGAGGCTTTTGCCTTTCCAAAGAATTCATCAACAAAAAAAAAATAATAAATATTAACTCCTTGCTCCCTGAAACCTTAAAACGGTCTCGGGAAGACACGGGTTTTATTCTGTTACCTTGAGGAAGAAAAGGGGGAGCAGCTCCGATTTTTAGGTATTTTTTGGCATTTTTTTCTGATTTTTATTTTGTTATATGCCTCAGTTCTCCCTCCATTTTGGTTGTTTATGATACTGACAACAAGCTGTCCCTGCTCTCTCTCTCTCTCTCTCCGGATCTCTCCTGCTTTCAGTTAGCAAAACCCCCCTCCCCAATGAAACACGACTCAGCACTTACTTGGGTTCACACTTTTCTCTAAACACATACCGATGGGGAAGGGAAAAGCTCCTGGGCCACTCGGAGGGAGAGAGCAGGCAAATTCGTTTCTTTATTACGAAAAAAAAAACTTTTGTCCAAAAAACGACGGGAAAGGGGGGTCGAGTGCCCCAAAGTCACTCCGGATCCCCCCAAAGCCGCAGCCGCCAGGTCCGGGGGACACCCCACGGATAGCCGGGTCCACGGGGGAAATTTCTGTGCGAAATTTGTCCGGTTTGAGGCGGTGGGCGAATTTATATTAATTTTTTCCCTCATTTTTCGGCACCGCGGTCTCTAATGTCTTCCGCTCCCTCTCTCGCCGCTCTCGCCGCTGTCACTGCATTCACAGCACAGGCTCCGGAGAGGCGAGGAGGGGAGGGGGCGGCCGCGCAGCTCCTGCCCCTGCCCCTGCCCCGCGGCCCCGGCCCCGGCCCGGCGCGGGGGTCGGCGGCGGGCACCCCGCGCCCTCCTGTCGTCCCCCGGGCAGCCTCGCCGCCTCGCCCGCTCGCTCGCGAACCAACATAGCGCCGCGGGGAGGGAGGGGAGGAGTGGAGGAAACTCCTGAGAGAGGTTTTTCTGAAAATCATCTCTTTCTCCCCGCGAGGGAGGGGAAGGGGGGGGCACCGCTCGCCTCGCCTCCCCTCCCCTGCTTTTCCCCTCGTGGGGGGGGTCCGACGCGGGGTGGCGGGGGGCTGCGGGAGATGGCGGGGAGAAGGATGGAAGGGAGGGATGGTTAACACAAACTTTTCCTCACTGCTCGCTGCTCCTCTCTCCTCTCCCCCCTCCTTCTCCTCCTCCCCCTTCATAATTTAAATAACCCTGATATTTCCCTGCTAAACCCCGGCGCCTGCCCCCCAAACCCGCAGCAGACTCACCGCGGGAGCCTCAGCATCCCCTCTGCGCCCCGTTTCCACCCTTTACAGTGTTCTCCGATTTTTCTGTAATTTTTTCCCCATATTTCGGGCTGGACGCGGCGGGCCTGGAAATTGTTTGCTTTCCCGTCTTTCCAGCAGCCATTGTAGTGTATGCGCTGCGGTGCAGCCCAGCCTGCCGCACACGCCGCGCCCACACCGCCCGCCGCCCACACGCACCGCGGGTTGGACGCCTCCCCCAGTCAGTCAGGGCCGCGGCCGCGCCCCGCCGCCGGCGCCTGCGGGCCGCGCCGCCCGCCCCGTTGGTGGAAGGAGGCGCCGCTCACGGCCGGGGCGGGCGCGGCGCCGCCGCCATTGGCGGCCCGGCCGTGCCACTCAGCACCGCCGGGGCGTGGGCGGCGGCGGCGCGGGGCCGGGGGGAGCCGCGGGGCCGGGAGCGGGGTAGGCTGCGCCCGTACTTAAGCGCGCTGCCCGAGCCGCTGACGTCTTTCGAATTGGAGACGGGCTGTCCCCCTCCCGCCCCGCGCTCCCGCGGACACGGCCGGGGACGGAGAGGTGAGTGCCGCCGGCGGCGACCCGCGCTGTGCCTGCCGCCGCTTCCCCTTCCCGGCCGGCGGAGGGGAGGCTCGCTCGCCCTTTTCTTCCCGCGGGCCGGGGCAGCTCCGCTCAGGCCCGGCGGCGGCGCGGCCCGGGCACCGCTCCCTGACGGCAGGTGGTGCCGGGGGGTGGCAGCGGGACCGACCGCGGGGACCGACCCGGGCCAGGGGAAGGTGGCGCCGGGAGCCTCCGGCCGCTCCGCCGGGGGCGGGGGACGGCAGGGGCTGGGCAGTGGGCACCTGGATGGCCCCCGGCCCCCCTGGGAGGCCGAGTTCGGCCAGGCGGCAGCTCCGCGGGGTTGTGCGCCCGGGTCTGCAGGCTGCCGCCTCCCGCCCCCCTCCGCCGCAACAGCGGTAAAAGCCGTAGGGTTTTTAATACGGCCTTGGCTTCAGGGTTCAAAGTTTAATAAGCTACTCTGTATTGCGGCAAAATTAGCGATTTTGCATGCATATATGTGCATTTAGAACAGACCAAGCGCTTTTCAATGGGAGGGAGTCTGTGGAGAAGTGCCCTGATGGGTTTATGAACTGAAAAAGCCCAAGGGCTAAAGAGTGCCAGCAACAGCCCTGGTTCTCTGTGGTACAGTTAACAACTGTTAATGTGTTAAAACATAATTATGAACTGCGGAATAGACAGGCCTTTGGTTGTGGTTGGGTTCTGACCTGTGATCTGAAAGCAGGAAGGGAAGCCTGTGCATATGCAAAACCCGGGAGGAGGGGGAAGCTCGCTTCCTGCCCAACTGCTCATGCAGTCGCACAGCAGCATTTCGGCGTGACCCGCCTGCCCTTCCAGCTGATAATGTTTCAGGTCCTGAAGTACTTCGGAGAGGGGGAGAGAGGAACACGCGCAGGAACTATCAGACCTTTTTGGTAGTACTAAGAATGTTTAAGCACTTGTCTGCTCTGAGCTAAGCAGCTTCGTGAGAACCTGAACTGCCTGTTCATTAGTAGGTATTTATTGCATTGTGTGCGTTGTTCCTTAAACCGGGCAAGGTTGCAGACTCTGGTAGTGTAATCAAACTGAAAGCGTTAAGTGCAGTTTGTATAATGAACGCTGATTATGACAACGGATCCTATGAGTCACAAACACTCTTTCAGAGAGTAAGTCTGAAGTCAAGCTAATACTGTACACCTTGAGGCATGTCTGCTTAGGTGGTAATATCAATGAAATGCAGAGTTATAACACAGACACAAACGAACATCTAAAAATGCTGTGTTTTTTATGCTGACTTAGGTGAGGCATTGTTATATGCTGCTTTTGCTTTCTGCTTCTTTTCCTCTCCCTCCTCCTTTCTTGAAGTCTGGGGTGATACTAGTATACCTGCTTGTGTTTCCATTTGAGTTGGAAGTGCTGGATCAAAAATGGTCTTGCACTCACAAAAAAAGGCAAACATTTACTTAGCTGGTAAAGTTAACTTAAGCACTGGATAGTTCTCAAAGGCAAGTTGAAGGGTTTCCCGACGCTGTTCATTGAAAGGCCCATTTGCAGAAGACTATCGTGTGGAACGCAGAGAGAACTCTAAGCATCAGGAGAGTATATATGCACGGGATGTAAAATCTAGGGCTTGTTTGCCGAGAATGGCTTACTTTTTCCCAAAGAAGAAACCCCATCTAAAACACTGTTTTCTGTCTGTGAGTTACAAAGAACAGCATTTGATTTTTGTTTGCTGGTATTAAGCAAAACTGGCTTTTTACTGCAGACTTGCATTATCTTTCCCTAATGCAGACAGAAACAAATTTAAGTTTAGAACTTTTAGGGAAAATAAAAAAATGAAAGATGCAGCTCAGTTTCCTTCATCAGCAGTACTTGCTCCCTCAGTCCTGTTCCTACTTACATTGCCTCAAACAGTCATCTGGTCAACATTAATTTATTTTTTGTTAGATTTAGTATTTGTTTGGAACAAATACCTGCATGGCCATATGTGTGCCAGAGGCAATGTATAGGAAGTTGTAAAGGGAAAGAGAGTCTGCTCTTCATCTTGATGTCATCATCTTGGATCAGTGTAGGTTCTTGGCACTGAACTCTGTCTCTTAAGCTTACAGTTCCTAGAGTCAGTGTCAAACTACAAAAGTGTTGAAAAATGTGATTCAAGCTGTCACACAAGTGTAAGTGCGTCTGGTCCCACCTTGCGGGGAAACCATTTCTCTTTCTATTAAATATTTGATAGAGCATCAGAGGAGGTAGTTGGGCACTTGTACCTGGGAAAGCTCAGTGAAGATACAGATGTGATCCAGCTAAGGAGTAGGCACAAATCTGGAAAAGTTTACTTGTACATTCCTCCCACACACTATTAATTGAAGTGCCTACAGTGTGTTGGCTGTGAACAGTTTCTATGGAGCTGTTTCTCCTAAACGCAGTCACTTCCTTTGTGGTATCACGGGCTAGTGTGAGAGTTACTGCAGTGACTCCATTCTCTGCAGAAATTCATCAGGGAGTAAGCAGTCTTGGTGGTGGGCTAAACTTGCCTGAGTTTTCTTGCTGTTACTGCTTTTGAAATAACATTTTTGCAAAAGAAGTTTGGTAGTGGTTTGGTTTTTGTTTGTTTTTTTTTAAAGACAACCAAACTCTGTGTGTTATTACAAGGCCTTTATTACATGTTGAAGTTCAGACTTAATCCTGAGTTACTATTAAAAGTAGATACTTAACCTGTTTATTTTCTGTTTCTATCCAAGGTGTCTGTCTAGAATGTCCAGGCATGCACAAAAGCTTAGAGATCACGATATAAATCCATGTGTAGCGGTAAGATGATCAAATTAGGATTTCTGTTTTTATGTTTTGATGTTAAATAATACAATTTCTAGAGGCCTTTTTCAGGAATACCACTCTTACATTATAGCGTTTTGCATAAAGAGTTTCTTAAGACTCTGAAGATGGAAGAACTGAAAATCATCCATTATAGTAAGCGTGAAATAATGAGTAATTCCCAATAAATAGGAGTGATACAACTGATAGCAATCTCTTTTAATTTTCTGTCCTTAAAACCAGAGCCTGAAATCCTGGTTAGACCAGCTTGGTTGTTTTTTAAAAGTCTTTTATGAGTTATACTAAGCATCATTGTAAACAATTATTCTGTGGACTCTATCCTTACTGTTTAAAGAGTACTAATGTCTGTTACCTCCAAATGAAGTCACTACTTGGAAGTACTGATTATCCTTTGTGATAGATGTTCTTTTGCTCTCTTTGATAGTATTCTTTCATCTGAGAAGCTGCCTCCTATCTTCATAGATATTCTGGGACTTGTTGAAATATTTAAACACTGAGTACAATAACTTCCCTCAGCTCTGAAGTATATTTTCCCCTATTAAAGGAAACAGATGCCACTACAAAATGTCTGGATGAAAACAACTATAAGAAGGATATGTGTACTGCTTATTTTTTGAAGTACAAAAACTGCAGAAAATTCTGGGTAAGCACAGTAGACTTTCTAATTTTTACTCCCTGTTTTGCTTTAAGTACATTATTTCTGACATACTGCTTTCTGAACCCTTCGGACTTAGCTAATGCTGACTGCTGCTGTTTTTATGGTAACTTAAAGGTCCAAGTAGTCTCAGTATGTGTTGCTGGAAGACTTAAGCAGATGCACATCAAAGCACTTCACTCAATTCTGCTAAGTTTACCCTCCTAGGTTGTGTGTTCCTGCAGTACCTGATGTTTCCCTCTGATTTTGAGTCAGATATTTCTAGTAATAAGTTTTCTTTTAAACGTAGATATGTAGATATGTGAACTGTATCTTCAGGTATCTTCAATTAAGTACTAGTAAGCTTAGTTATCAGCCAATCAGACTTAGAGTATCTGGTTCTTGATATATTTAGAGTTTTTCTATTAAAGAATCTTGTTCATTTGGCGCTCCGAAGCAGAGATTCTGAGAAATCTGTTCTCATGGTCATTTTATTCTATTTTCAGCATGGCATTATGATGCAAAGGAGAAGAAATGGTGTGAAACCAGAGATGCCCTCAGCAGACGAGAGAAAGAAAATCTTGGAGTCAATGGGGAAGCCTTACTGACTAGAAACTTGAATTGACTGTTTTCTCTGTACATATGAAGATTTACCAGCAGCAAGTTACTGTTTTATGAACTGAACTCTACGGTTGTCATATCTTGGATTAAAATAAGATCTTAAGTTTTGAAATGTGTGAGCTTTCTAGGATAGAACTTCCTGGTTTGATTCATACTTCCTGTCATGGGAACTTGACCTTTTACTGGAAGACATGAATATCACCACAACTTATGTCTAGATACTTTTGGAAGTAGAAACTAACTTGCTTTGAAATGCTAAATATAAAATTAACAGGACCTGCAGAAAGTCTGAGTAAAAAGAGGGGGTGATGAGTGTTGCAGTGTGGTTCTAAGACTGGAGCAGGTTGAGAACCTGGTACATGCAACGTGTTTCGTGCACCCAGCTATTCTGCCCAACAGTATGGATTTACCATGTGTGATCTTATCACTATTTCCACGTGTGTCAAATTCTGTGTCCCGAGTTTAAATAAGACTGTTCATAAACTAAAATCCTAAATGCAGTGAGCTCGTTGTTAGGTCTGCCACTGTACTTGTCAGTGACAGCAGAAGCTTGCAATAAATCAGATCTGTAAGCTTTGCTTGTTACAAGGTTAGAGAGGTTGATGAAGATAGTTCAGACCTGAGGAATTCAGTTCTGAATAGTACTTTCTGTGGATAGTAAATAGATACTTCGCTGGTGGGCAGGTGGGGGGGACTTGCAGACATGTAAACATATACTCTGAGTGACATGGCAGGTTTAACTATAGTACATCTATCTAAGACTCTCTGGACAGCTGAAGCTCTGGGTTTGGAAATGCTTACTCATACAAGGCTACAAGCTCAGTTTGAACAGGTACTGTAATCTTAAGTAGGATTGATTCCTTAACTAAACGGAACAACTAATAAGTGTAAACAGGTTGCTGTCCAGTGGAAATAGTGTCTTCTTACCTTTTGCCTCCTGATGTCGTGGCTTAAAAGCTTGAACCCTGTGGCAAAACAGAAGAACTACTATCACAAGCTCAGGTTCCATGTGAAATCCTTCAGTACTTACTGCGATCAAGTTGGCAGAACTCTGGCTGACCTCGTGGAGGATGGTGTAAAAGTGTTGTCTCTATTTAGACTGTTTTGGAAAGACTTCATGGCTTCCTTTTTCCCCTGTCTGGCTTACCTTGTTTCTTTCCAGTGGAGGCCTATTTCTATGCTTGCTGGGATTTTTATGCTGTTTCCATCTTCCCCCGTATTTGATCTGACTAATAACTATAAAAAAATCTGCTTTTGCTCTTCCTTTCTGTTCTCCACTACATCTGAGTTTTGAAATGGATTGATCCTACTCTTTCTGTTATTGGAATAAGTGTGTAACTCTATGCCTTTTGAGTATGCAATTCTCTGAGCATAGCTGTGCAGCCTCTAAGCCATGTCACAAGTTCTCTTGTCAGTTCCTGGCAAGGAAAATGGACTTTCTTCAATCAAGATCATGAGATTCTTAATTTCAAAGTACTTTCTCTGCACTTAAATGCAAACTTTAACATTTTACTTTTTTTTCCTAGTGTGGAACAGACAAGAAGTTTTCATTCTAGATTCAAGGGCTTGCTTTTGTCCACTGCTTCCTTGCTGCCTTCTTCCAATACCCTCCTACATACCAGTCTTTTTTTTTCCCATTTGGCACCAATTCTTTTTTTTACTGATTTGAATATTTTGGTCTGTTCTTATTCCATCTTTTTTCTATCACCATTGTTCTGTCTCTGATCTGATGATGTAGTGTTGCAATGATGTTCTAATACATCTCCTTTTCAAGGTCTTGTGTTCTGTTCTTGTCATAGTGAAAGAACTCCTTGCTTTCATTAGTCAGACTTAGCCATAATACCTCCTTATTGGCCATGCCTCTCTCAGCTGCAATTTTGGTGGAGCTATTGTCCACTTTTCCTTAGGACTGTGTCTCTCTGGACTCCTGGTTTTGCTGCCTTGCTTGCCTAAGGGCGCCTTCTCTCCTACTTGGCACAGGTTTGTCATTTGGCACCTCTGCCGTATCTTTGGGCATGTTTTTTGCTCCTATGGCTTTAGCTACTATTCTAGTGCTTGCTGTTTTTCTTCTGCTGTGCTCTTACACTCTGGGCTCACATTAATTAAAACATATATTAGATTTTATACAAAAGAAAAACAGCATCTCTTCTTGATGTGGTTATGCTCATTCATATATTCTCATAAGCTTAGGGTTTTAAAGTCATCTTATTTATCCTAGGTTTTCCTTTCAGGTTTTTTTCAAGTATAGAAATTCTTTTTCCTAGGTGAACTGTTGCATTTACTTTTTTTTTTTCCCCTGCCAGTATTTACTTGGAAAGTTTCCACTAGTGTTCTTTTCTTTTGAAGGTTAACTGACTTATCTTTAGACTTTGATAGGTACCCTGTACTGCTTTGCAAAGTGTTGGTAAAGAACTAGTGCTGGACTTCAGAAAGTCAGAAAAGGAGATGCATTCCCTGCTTTCAAGTATCATTACAAGAATGTGGGATCACAGGTTAGGCTAAGGCATATGTAATGAAAGAACAACAGTCTAATATTAGACTTCCTGATCATCAGTGGACACACATGGTAAGCTGTCTGTGGGTGTTACAACAAAAATGAGTTTAGTGTAGAACTCAGGGCAATTTAAGCAGTGAACTTGTAGATTTAATTCAGGTGATCAGTCATCTGTTGTAGGGAATGCCACTTATTTCCATTGCATATGCCTTATAGTTACTGTTAAGTAACACAAAGTTTATGAAAAATCTTGGAGAGCAAGAAGTTTTCTTCCTTGTGTTATAATGTCTCTCAAGAGTGATCTGTTAGTTGAGTATGACTTTTCATCATTTTTCTCCCTCACTGGAGGTTGCTGTTCTTGCTTTCATTACTGAAGCTCAAGTGGTAAATTATGATAGCTAAAACATAGGCTCTTATGTATGAAATGGTTGAGTTTTTTCCATTAATTTCTGTAGTGTGATTAACTGTCTTTGGTTGTGAGCCAAAGATAATGGTCTTTTCCTCATACCTGAGAGCTTATATTCCACACTTCATTGAAACACCGAGGTAAGCTGTAGCCTGCCAGTCTTACTGGGCAGAAGTAAACTGGGCTGAATTCTTAGTTTGCTAAAGCACACTTTTGTATACTAACATAGAAAAAATAACACAATGGATCAATATAATTAATTCAGAAGCAAGGAAGGACCTGTGGTTTGGTTGTGGGTTTTATTTTGGTTTTTGGGGGTTTTTTGGTTTTGGTTTGTTTTGGTTTTTTTTGGTTGGTTGGTTGGGTTTGGGGTTTTTTTGTTTGGTTTTTTTTTTTAGTTTTTGGGGGTTTTTTAATAGGTATAATTACTCATTTTGTTTGTGGTACAAGGACAAAATCTGGATAGTAGCATGAACGTTTGATAACTTTTTTGTTTGACAGCTGGATGGTGCTGTTGCACAACAGACTGAAAACAGCAGCACTCCACCCACTACTGGCCCTTTCAAGCTCTTTTGGGCTCTTCCCACAGAGGTAGCAGAATTCATGCAGGAGAAAGGAAAGATTGGTGCTGTCTCTACACTATAAACTGAAGAGGACAAGAGTCTAAATCACTGCTGGGAAACAGGAGGTTTCTGTGCAGCCTGGGAAGCTTTGGATTAGGGTCCTTGAAAGAATATTTTTTTTTTTCACAGTGGTCATTTGATCACAGCTGGGCACAGAGCAGCACTAGGTGAATATCCAGACTCACATCTGTACACTTTTACCATCTCATTTTTCCCATTACCCTACAGTGCAAGGCCTTTGTCTGGCTCTGGGAGTTAGCTGCTGCCACAGTTGGAATGAGTCTGTGCTCTTGAAGATGTTAGAAGTAAGTTATCTAGCTCTAGAGTCCTGAAAATTTTTTTGGGTTTATTTGAAGCTTTTGAAAGGCAGGAAGTTGCATCTGCTGTGGCTCTGAGTCTCTTTCATGGTCTTCACCCAATAAAACTTCTGTGCTTGCAATCAAGGGCATAACAAGATTTTGCTAAAACTTCTGCAGAACAGGCAGGATGAATTTACAGTATAAAATGTTATTCTGCTCTAATGCTTTTGTAGACAGCCCTTAGGTTAAAAGTATCTGCATCTTTAGAGTTGGTCTTCAGAAATAGCCATGAAAAAAGTAATCATAGTGTGAAAAAAGATTGGAAAAATAGTACACTATTGCAGGCTTTTTTTTTCTCTTGGAAGAATCTGAGGCAACTGGAGGAAATAGTTTGGTAAGGATTGAAGTAGTAAAAAGTAAAACAAGCACACCACTTCAGAATTTTTAAATTTTTATTACAGCCTATTTGATATGAAGAAGAAGAGGGAAGTACTGCATTTATACTAGCTAAATGCAGTGGGTTCTTAAAACTTTAGTATATTTTTTACTACATACATGATATCATATGTAGTAACTCAAACAATCAGATTTTTGAATAAGTAATTTTTCTCCATCCTTTAGGTTTCTACTTTGATGATTTCTATCTCAAAATCCTTTTTTTGAGGATTTTCAGCACTATTCTTCCAATCATTACTCACTCTTAAAAGTCCCGCTACCCTTGGAGCTACCTCTTTACCTATTTTACTTCAATAAACAGCTATGCAATGCAAACAGTCCCTTATATCAAGAGACTTTGGCAGAACACAACAAAATTCAGGATACAACAAAATTGATCTAGTGTCTTTGAAAACAGAAGACAATTGTAATATAAGGTGATGTGTAATGACAAAAAAGATTATGCTCAAGATAGAAATGAGGTACTGACTAAATACAGTAAAAGCAGTTCACAGCTGTATGACAACATTACACTTTAGCAGAAATAGAGGCCATCAGTTCAAGCTTGCAGACATAAGTCTTTGAAGAATCCAAATGCTTTAATTGATGATAAAAGATGCCAACTGTTTTGTCAAAAAAAGATTTTACAGCATTTTCACAGAAATATTTTGTTATTGTATTGCATGTGAATCTAAAATTTTTTCTTGCCCTCAAATGTGGACTTAACTGCCACCAAGGACTGCTTAGAGTTTCATGCAGCTGGTGAAGTGAATGTGGTTGCATATGACAAGTAGGGTGACATTTTCTCCTGATTTTTGTTAAATAGTGGAATCAAATGAAGTTGCTGCATTGGGCTATGTTAGTCATACAATGCTTGCTTCAATGCGTAAGTAACAAAAGGATGGAATGGAGATAAGAGGATAAATTCTTAAGTTGGGGGGTGCACTATGAATTTGCCATATCCTGCAATATCAGTCTTCAGAACTCCAGCTCTATGTTTCCTGATGCTGAGTGGATTTGAACAGGTGTTACTGATAGTCTAAGAAATACTGTGTTTTAGTATTCTTCCATTTGACTGTCAAACAACTACAGTAGTTCTTAAGTTAAAGATGACAGTTCAAGGTCTTGGGCTGGTCCTATACAGGATTGAAGAACCACTTTGACTCTCAGATTTAAAATGAACAGA